TATATATAGTATTAGACATTAATTGGCTTAGAAAAATTCTAGTTTTTTGTTCAAATAATATCTTAGATGCAATAATCTTAATAAAAATTCGACGCTAACTATATTTTGATATTTAATATCCCACATATATCATCAACGCAATTTCAACTGTTGTGCATGCCCAAGTTAGTTCACATTTAATTTAATTATATATAATTTGTTAATCGAATAAGATATATAATATTGTATATCAATCGTTTTAGAAAAAATTCTAGTTTCTAATTTTGATAATATCTTTGATGCAGCAAGTTTAATAAAAAATCGACGTTAGCTTTTCTTTTGCAGTACTATGGACTTACCAATAATTCTGCAACTGTACATTATGTTTTTCAGTGCCATTTTAATTTTTCAGCGAATTTAATTTAAGATGGTATGCCATCTATTAACCAACTTTGTACAGATTTTTTGAATAATTAATAAAATTAAATTAATTTCGTTTTTTTTCAAATAATTGTGCTTATTAGAGTATTGTATTGAAAGTTATTTATATATAAACTGTTTTCTGACTTCTGGGATATGCTTTTTATAAGAAAAATGTCGTTTTTAAAGGAAAATTAATTTCTGAACTTTGACACTCAATAACTTTTAAGTTAATCGACCAATCTATAAATATGAAGACATTAAATGAAAGTTTGAAGTGTCCTCTTTCGATTAAGCTAATTTGCAGAAAAATGGTACCTCTGCTTTTAAAGATATAATTAATTTTGTAAAGTAACCTATTTTTACAAAATTTTATTTTCCTTATTTTGAAGAAAATTTTTTCTATATTATGTAAAAAGTGATTATATTTAGAAAAACAAACATATTTTTTATTGTTATAAGCTTTTTAGTTCATAATTTTTGGTCAAGTAACAAAGTTTTAATTAAATAATGTTTAAAAATGATATCTCTATCTTCATCGCAGTACTGCTCCTAAGTTAATCGAACAACCTGTACAAAATTTTGCATTATATGAAAGGTAATTTTATCCTCTTTCGAATGAGCCATAAAAGAAAAAAATGGTACCTCTAGTTTAAAAGTTATTAATAAATTAGTGACCCCATCTTTTGGGGCTGATTTTTATTTTTCATTTTTCATACAAATTACATCATTTACACATAAAAGTTGAATGTAGATAGTAAATTAATTAAATTTTCTACTTAATAATGCCTTTTGCTGCATTAAATTTAATAAAATAATAAATTTTTCCTTAATTAAACTATACTGCATTTTTCATGCGGCGAAAAATGTTCCAATTCCATTTTGGACTTATCGTCGACGCTATCTTCACGCACATATTTACATAAACGATTTACATAAACGAGCCACTGAGTAGCCTAATAAAAATTATAACTTAAAAATACATAACGGGCTGGTCAAAAAACATCATTATTAATTAAATTGAAAACATTTCAAAAAATTTTAGTACTAATTTTATTTAGCACATCGAAATACGAAGTATGGTGAAAAGGGTTTATAGTTGATCACAGTGAATTTTAGTCAGTATTGGCAGAGAAGTTGCCGGAGACAGTTGATGATGGTGGTTGCGTGATTTTTTTTTAAATAAAATGAACTGAACAAATTAGAAAAATTTCTATGCTCGAAATAAAGCGATGGTTTGTTAATTATTATTATAATAATTTGTTATCGGGTTAATTGGTCAAATTTAAATAGAAATAAAAAAGACACTAATTTATTATTTATATTTAATAATCATTTATACTTTATTAAAAATGATTCTTCCGATATTTCGACTATCTTCGATAGTCATCTTCAGGGAAAACTAAACAAAATATCAATTAGCCCGATAACAAATTATTATAATAATAATTTTTGGTCTCAAATAAAAGTATTTAATATTTTACCAATAATTATAAAAATAATTCGTAATTTAAATCATTTGCGTTAAATATTATAATATTGACTCTTAAATTGTATGTATGCTGGTTTGTCCTTTAAAAGATTTTCTCTATATGCAGAAATGCCCCATAATGTTATAGTTTTATAATTAATCATCATTAATGCAAATTTATTTAAAAATAAAACTTTTTAACATATATATTTATTAAAGGTATTTGTTTAAAATTTAGAACGATTAATCTAAGTGGATAATCGAAGACTTCCAAAAATTTATATTTTCAAATTTCAAGCAGTCCCGAGAAATATACAACTTAACTTAATTCAGTGTTTTAAATATGAACAAATGAAATAGAAAAATTCGTTAATTGTGAAATATGTTAAAAGTTATTTTATTAAATAAAAGTTATAAATAAAATTTAACTTAAAAAAAAAATTGTTGAATTAAATTAATAAAAAATTAATTATTATTAAAGGCTTTTAAACTATTTATACATTTGAATATAAATATTTGAACATAGAAATGTACTTTACATTCTCCACTCTTTTTGCTTCCAAAAAAATAATATACAATTTTTGTTTTTTTTATTTCTTATATTTCAAATATGTAACAAACACAAATTAACACATAGGAAAACTTTATTAAAATATAATTATATACTCACATATATTTTTGCTTTACACATAGGAAAACTTTATTAAAATATATTTATATACTCACACATATTTTTGCTTAACTAATTTGTATTTATACACATAAAAAACAAACAAATCACATTAAACACAAAACATATATTTTAAATCCACAATTAATAAATGATTGTTTTTTTACCTTCTTTCGTCATTTTTAGGAAATTCATACATTCCCTTAAATAACATACATCCCATTACGCTATTCCGCACCATCTTCAAATATTAATAACTAAAATAATAATTGTAATTGATATATGTAATTATTTTTTCAAAGGAACTTATGCACTACTTTTTATAACTTAGTTTGATTTGACTACGTTCTTCAGTACGTATTTCTCCTATCAAACAACCAAAACAAAACCCAATTTGCGTACCAAATCGTTCTTTCGTAGTAAAAAAAATTGAAGACCATTCGTGGTGGTGAAACGTTCCATTCGGCGTGGTGAAACTTTTCACTCGTAATGGGTCGACTTACAGCAACAAAATAACATGGTTGGTTTGATAATATTAAATTATTTTGAGAGGTTGGTTTGTTTTATTTACATTTAAGTTGTATTGAGCTAAAAAAAATAAAAGTATAATAATGCTGCGAACAATTGAAATACAAAAATGTTTAAGTGTTTTAATTGAAAACATTAATTTATTCGAACACAAAAACAATATAGAACAATATATTAATATATATAATAAATATAAAAACTAATTACAACAAAAATACTAATTTCTTGAATTTATTTTCGACCTGTTTCTTAAAATGGTTTTTTATATAGTTTTATAGAACTGTAGATCCCTTCTTGTTAAATAATAAAACTTTAATATTTTTTATTAAACTCTATATTACGACTTTCCATGAGAGTCATCATCAGGATTACGATCTATAAATATAATTATAACAATTATAACATAATTATATCTATAACATAAATTATAATTATAACATTAATTTGTTTTTGGTTGTTCCAATATAGATCACATTTTTTTTGTTTTTTTTGTTAAAAAATTGTGCAATATTGTTTTGTATATTCGTTGCAACAGTCCTTTTCTTTTGTAAGCATATCACAAGAAAACAACTGATTATGTAAAAACAATATATAATAACACATCAACGCTTGGGCTTTTCTTTTGTAAGCATATTACAAAAGAACAACTGCTTATTTTAAAAATAACATATGAAACAACAACACTGCTGGCTTATTTAGTCCAATCTTTTTGAAACTGCTTAACTAATAAACAGCTCAAATCACATGGTTGTCAACACTAAAAATTCGTCTATTGTGAACGATTTTTTGAAAGACATACCAAATTTCCAGTTATCTGTCAACGAATGCTTTCATTTATTCTTTGTATTTCGTATCGTAATTGTTCGTAACAAATACGTTATTTTTTGCATTTATTGTTGTACTGTTAAAAGGCATGAATATGCATATTTTATTCACAATCATTTAAAAAAAATATTTTCAGCAATAATTGCAAAGAATTGTTATTCATTATCAAAATTTCAACTTTAAATTTTATTACGTGTTTTGCATATATAAGCCGAACAAAATCTCCATTTTGTTCAGAGTTGCCATCGAAAGTAGTGCTTATTTTATTTGTTCTTTTGCGACATGCATTCAAAAGAAAATGCCTACTGCTGGCTTATTTAGTCCAATTAATAAATAGCTCAAATCGCATGTTTGTTTTTGAAATCAGTCAATTTTTATTTTGTCATCTATTCTAATGGCTACAGCGTCTAGATATAATAGTTTTTCATTATTCTCTATTTTCATTATAAATTTTATGTTTTTATGAAACTTGTTTAATTCTTCCAAAGTTGTTTGTATTGCGTACGTCTTAAATATTTCAAAAATATCAATCACATATTTCATCAGCAATTTGGGTTTTGTTTTTAAATTTTAACACATGTGTTAAGTAGTTCCTCCATTATGATGTCTGCCGCTATAGGCAACAAAGATGAACCCATAAGTAAACCTCTAAGTTGGGAGTATATTCTTTCTTTGTATTTGAAATATCAATATATCAATAAACAGTTTCTTGACCATTTTTGTATTTTTGTATATGAATACTAGGGAACTAGGTCTAATGTTTATATACCAATCGAAAGACTTTTCAAGATTCTATAAATAATATGCATCTTTGTTCAGTTTATTCAATTTTTTTTATGAAATAATAAGCTTTTTAATATTTATTTATAACGTTTCCAGCTGATTGCTCATCAACATATTTAAAAATATAACAATTGTTAAAATAAAAACCCGCAACGATAATGTATACGCTTAATCAACTTTAGGAAAGTTCGTTGACTAAAGTTCGTAATGTTAACATAGTATAAATCCTATATTAGTATTTTCAGCTGGAACTGAACTTTTGTTGTTCAAAAACATAAATTTTAGTTCACAATAGAGTTTCCGTTCTTGTTAGCTGTTCCTTTGGAATCTTCTGTCAATTGTGAATGCTATATCAGCAATGTCTAATTCTGATTAGAATTGGATATCAAAATACTTCAATTTTATTTTACTGTTGGGAAGAATTGCCTACGGATAGCAGTTCATTATGTACCCAGGACTTTTAAAAAACGTGCTAGTGAGGTAATTTATTCAATTTTACCTATTCAAAAATCTTACGTAAATGTTTGATAACTACAATATGTAAAACTACTTATTATGTAAACAAAATTTTTAACAGGTGCTACGCCACAAGCACTAATATTTCAAAAAAAATAATATGCAAACCAATTAATAAAATATTAATATCCAATCGAGGCGAAATAGCTTGTCGCATCATACAAACTGCAAAAAAATTGGCTATTCGGACAGTAGCTATATATTCTGATTCTGATGCGAATTCACTACACACACAATTGGCTGATGAAGCCTATAATGTTGGTCAAGCTGCATCCTCCTCATCGTATTTACGTGGTAGCAAGATAATAGAAATAGCTAAAAAATCTGGTTGTCAAGCCATTCACCCAGGCTATGGGTTTCTCTCTGAAAATGTGGAATTTGCGGAACTATGCCAAGAAGAAAATATTATATTTATAGGACCACCAAGTGCAGCAATACGTGATATGGGTATTAAGAGCACAAGTAAAATTATAATGGCGGCAGCAGGTGTGCCAGTTATAAGTGGATATCATGGTGAGGATCAATCAGATGAGCGTCTGCTAGCTGAGGCGGAAAAAATCGGATTTCCACTCATGATTAAGGCTGTGCGAGGCGGTGGTGGAAAAGGCATGCGCATAGTTCAACGAGCTGATGATTTTATGACTGCCTTAAACTCAGCACGCACTGAGTCACAAAAATCATTTGGTGACAATTCGGTGCTATTGGAGCGCTATGTCCGCTCCCCACGTCATGTAGAAGTCCAAATATTTGCTGACCAATACGGCGATGCTGTCTATTTATGGGAACGTGACTGTTCAGTACAACGTAGACATCAAAAAATTATTGAAGAAGCTCCAGCGGTATAATATAAATAGTTGATAGAAATAAAAAAAATCTATAATCCCTCACTTTTAGCCCGGGTTAAGTGAAGAACTTCGTTGTCAACTTGGAGAAGCGGGTGTTCGTGCAGCTAAAGCGGTGGGTTATATCGGTGCTGGTACTGTTGAGTTTATAATGGATAAGGAAGATCTTTCATTTCATTTTATGGAAATGAATACAAGGTTGCAAGTAGAACACCCCATAACTGAAATGATTACTGGTACAGATTTAGTGGAATGGCAAATTCGTGTAGCAGCTGGTGAAAATCTGCCACTGTCGCAAGAGGAAATTAAAAGAAAAGGCCATGCTTTTGAAGCACGCATTTATGCGGAGAATCCAAGGTACCGTTATAGTTGACGAAAATTAAAAATATTGTTATATTTTTTATTAAGGGAAGGGTTCTTGCCTTGTGCTGGGCACCTTCGTTATTTAGTTACACCACAGCCAACCAAAAATGTGCGAGTAGAAACTGGTGTCCGAGAAGGAGATGAAGTTTCAGTACATTACGATCCAATGATAGCAAAGTTAGTTGTATGGGGAGAAAGTCGCAGTAAGGCACTCAATAATTTGATCGCAAGATTAAGTGAATATAACGTAAGTATTATAACCTTTTGAAACGTAAAATTAAAAAATAGAATTTACAGATCACTGGATTGGAAACGAATGTCAATTTTTTAATTGATTTGGCTTTGCATCCAGAATTCCAAAAAGGAAATGTGCATACCGGGTTTATTGATCAACACTTTGACACACTTTTTCCATCAATAAACATTAAAAATCAAGATGTCTCTAAAGTAGCTTTATCGTTATTATATAATGAATTATTAGCATCTAAATGCAATGTAAAGCATTGTGATCCTTATAATCAGGTGGTGAACAGTCGTTTTAATTATGATTTGCTAAGAACATATCATTTAAAGGCAAACGATAAGGGTATATACATATAATCAACCGAAAATCAATGCGGTTTCTTAATTTTTATTTTACAGTTTATTCAGTTTCTGTCAAAAATGACAATGATTGCATTCAAATTAAATTTAGTGAGGGTGATTGGGTGACGGTTAAAGTGGAACAAGTTTTTGATGACGACCGATTAAAATTACGCACCGATATTAGCAATAATATCTCCACATTTACTGCTAATATTGACGAAACAGGAGTGACAGTTTTTTTGGAAGTAAGTTAAAATTTTTTGATTTATGTTTTTTTCCAAATTTGTTTAAATAAAAAACTACAGAATGGTAAACTACAAATGGAAGTTGTTCAACCTAAGTTTGTCAATGCACATATCGATCAGCTAAGTGGTGGCACTTCAACATTAATAGCACCAATGCCAGGAGTGTTAGAAAAAATTTTGGTCAAACCAGGCGACCATGTGAAAATTGGTGATAATTTAGCAGTACTCACTGGTAAATAGATTGTCATATTTATTTATAACATTTAAAAATCACCTATATTTTCAATATAGCCATGAAAATGGAACATGTTTTGAAAGCACCAAAAAATGCCATAATAAAATCTATCAGCGCATTAAAAGGCGAAAATATAGCTAAAGGCGTTGTAATTATTTCTTTTGAAGAGCCCGAGGATAAATAAAATTGATGGACTATTAGCTTATATATCGTACCAGTTAGATATGGCATTTATTTTGTTTACAATTTCTATTAATATTGTTTTAGTTTTATGAAAGAATTTTTAAAATAAATTGTTGAAAATTATAAAATAAATTTTAGATAATTTTATTTTATTAACTTTTAAAGTATATATATATGAAAACGAGAAATTATATGTATTTTATATATATTCACTATTTTTTATATAAATAACAAAATTAAATTCTCATAACAGATGTACGACGAGCCAAAAAAAATTTAATAAATTAAATATAATAAATTTTGTTGTTGCAACTCATTATTTTTTGAATTATATTATTTTAAATAATAATAAAAATTTGACTTAAAATTAAAAATATTCGATTAAGATATTGAATCATGTTCGTCTCACATTTATATACTTTAACTTGCTTTTCATTGCAAAAAAATCAAGAAAATAGATCCAATCAAATTTATTTATAAAATTCGTACTTTTATACTTAATAGCATAAACTTTTAATGTAGTAATTTTTATTTGGTTTTTTTCTTACTCATCTTAATTATAGTAAAAATTAAAAGTCCATACGTTTTACATTACAAAACCATTTCTAGTTTATTTTACTTAATAAGTATTTTTTAAAAATCTTAATTTTTTGATTAAAATAAAAAACCAAAACTAAGTCAATTAGTAAAAATTTTTTTAATACAAATCTATATATATCTATATATATGCATATGTATCTCGTTCTCAACAATTATGCAGATATTTTTGTATGTTTACAAAATAATTTTAAGGCAAATAATTGAATTTAGAAATCATTAATGAAAAATTATTAAATAAGTCATATTATTTTTATAAACCGAAATCTCTGTACCTTATGAAATTTATTCTTTGGAGTTTTTTGAAATTTATGCAATATGTATACAACATGCACATAATTCCCTTATTATTTATAATTAAATAAACGTTTTTTTTAAATATGTTCCCTTTTTTGCAGTTTCCATGGGTGACAAAACAAAAAGCTCAAACATTTAAGGAATTTTGTATATTCTCAAGAAGTCATTTTACTTTTACACTAATAGTTTTTTTTCTTAAATAAAATTAAAAATAAAATTACATACATTCAAGAAATTAAACAGCACTGATTTATAAATTTTCTTTTTATGCATATTTTTTTATATAATTTATTTTCTGAAATTTCATATATATGACGAATGTTTTTATATATGCTATATAATTTATTAAATAAGGAGACTTAAAACCGTTCGTTACACGACGCTTGAAAGTGTTGTTAATGCAAATTAGGCGAAAATATTAAAATAGTTTATACAATTGTTTAAATATTCATTTAAGCTTAAACATTCATTAAAATTATTTTACAATTAAGAACAATTTGCTTAAAGCATTGAAAACATAATACAAAAATTAAAAATACATATAGAGTTGCTTATTAATATATTTTCAAATTTAACTTTTTACATTATAAATAATTAAAGAAAAAACACAAACACACATAATTTTATTTTAATATGCATTATAAAAAGAAATTAAATATATTATCTATGTAAGAAACTGGTTATCAACTCTGATATAATAAATATTATCAGATAAAATGATTTAACATACAATTTTAAAATGTTCCATTTATTAACTTAATTTTACAGTTTTATCAAATTAAATACAAACTAAAAAATAGCGGTTTTCGCTTCATTCAATATGCGCTTAATTAAAAAAGATAAACTATTTGTTTTTAAATATTTTTTTATGTTTCAACATTAGAATTTTTATAATACTCTTATCCTACACCAAATATTACTTCTTCACATAAATTGCTCTTACAATTACCATACATTAAGTTTTGATCACTGTATTTATGACCGATTTCGCACTTTTCTTACTTTTTTCATTGAATGTAAATAATTAAATATTATACGTACTGTTACAATTTTATAATTTACTTTAACCATTTTAAAACGTAATTTTCTTTTTTTTTTCATTTAGTACAATTTGAAATAAATAAATAGTAATGTTTAAAATTTGTTAGAAAATTAATAAATAATAATTTCATTTAATTCAAAAAAAGTATGAAACATTAACAGAATTATATTAATTTACTTCTTTTAAGATATATTAAGTATTATTTTCTATTCTGATTCGTTTATCTATGTTGAATTTATTATATTTGCTTATTATGTATACGTGTGTTTTAATCTTAGTTTTATAGCATTCATCATAGTTGTTTGTCGGTTATATATATATATATATATATATATATATTATGCAGTCATTACTATTAATCTTTAAGATTAGCAGCTACAATCGTGTATTCATGTTATTCGTTTTGTTTTCATTTGTGTTGTTACTGGCGCTGTAGATGACGCTCCAACTGTTTGTGTAGTCAGTATTGCTGTATTTGAAGGCGTGTCCGCTACAATTGTGTTTTTCGGGGTTTCACCAGTGCCACCACTCATTGATTGTTGCTATAAAATTTGTAGATGTAATTAATATATTATACATATTATAAAAACTTTATATTTGATTTATATACTAAATAAATTTGACTAATTAACATAATAACTTGGGAAGCATTAATATTAAAGCGTTATAAGGTCTCAAATATGGAACATTTAATAAATGCTTAAATCACTGGTTTCTTTTAAGTATAACAGTTTATGCATGGCTTCTTTCTGCTCCAATTTTGGGTTGTCTTCCACTTGGTGTTGTGTTACATTCAAACATTTGTTAATTGTGTAAATCTAACAAATGCAACAAGCAAGCATATTTTTTAGTTGCACTTGAAAATCTCAAATACTTAAAATTTCCATCAATAAAATAGAAAAGAGATGAAAAAAAATAAGCATAAACAGCTTTTCACCGTATAATTTATGTATCTATTTACATATATTAAATAAACAAATTTAGAATACGCGCACTGAGGAATTACAAAGCATAATACAATAAACAAAATTTTTATTTAATCAATTCAAAACAAAAATTTTTTTAAAGCAAACAATAATTAAATTTTAATTTTATTAAGACTGGAAATTGTGTTTTTAAAATATTTTTGTGTAAGGCTATACACAGTAGTCGTCCAATTCAATGAAAGGTTTCTAGCGTAATCGAATAAATCGAATAAATACGTTAAACAATATAATATATTATAGGTTTTAACAGCTCTTTTTTTTAATTATATTTAAATAATCTTGTTTCTGAAAGTTCTATTTTGATATTAAATATGCTTTCTTATGTACATATGTTGATCATGTCATTATTTTTTCAGTTTATTATATTTTAGAATATATTGAATTACACATTCGTTATATTGAATAACTAACGACAACATTTGTAATATTGGAGAACTACTGTATATATCGCAGCCTCTTCAAAACAGGCACAACTCGAAATTCGTCAATTTTGAGTTAATGTATGGAACTTGCTTATAGTTTACCTGTCTACGTGCAACCTGCAAAATTCCACTTTGTTTTTATTATTCTAAATTGTAGAAAAAAAGATTTATATCTCTTTTGTTGTTAGGAATGACACTACACTGCAAAACATTTTTTGCGTTTTCTGAAAATTGACGAATTTTGAGCTGTGTGTCTCTTTTGAAAAGGGTGTGCGATACGTAAATTAGAACGTATTTTTTATACAAGTATTCGCAATTGTTCGATGTTAACTCTTATAAAAAATAAAAACTGTTTCAACTAACTTGATTGCAAATCATACTAAACGGCTAGAAGTGTTACCACGTTGTTGTTGTTTTTGGTGTTGCTGTTGTCTAACGTTTCCCAGAGAACGCTATTTTCGATTTTTGAATGTGGGTGTACCCATAAATTTGTTAATATAGAGAAGAGAGCAGATTAATTTAAGACCAAATAATGAATAAATTAATAATACGAGCACCGAATTGCAGTTACTTTACGTAAAGGGTTGATATTCTAATTACGCCCTATCATTAGTTTATCTAACTTTTAGTATTAAAACTGCATTTAATAAAAATTTCACATTCATAAGTGAGAAGCGATTGTGGAGTTGAAGTGGAAAAAATGAGTTAAGTACAGATTGAAAACTGAGAGAAGAAAAAAACTGAGATTTGTTCTATCAAATTTTGTATAATATAAACATTGGCAAAGTATGTAGAAAATAGTATCTAAGCAATCTATTTTTTGATAATATGACATAATTTGCTTTAATGTCATCTTTTCACACTGTTATCATCGATTGCTAAAGAATTGCAGGTTCTGTAATCTAAAAAATCATGAGACAATTTTTAAGTCGGTTCCTTTTATCTCACTTTAATCTTCAATATTTCACAACACACTTTCTATTGGATTAAGGGCTGGGCTGTTTTAATGTCAATTTAACGACTTAATTTCAAATAAATCCTTATAATTTTGGTGTTACAAGCAGAAGACACAAGGATGTTGAATTAATAAACATAATTAAATTTCATGTTTATGGACTAAAAGAATGATTACACCAGCAGACGCATTCGTTATCCTGAAACAATACATTCACAACATTTTAAAAGTACATGTACAATATACATATGTGCAGAATTTATTGACCCTTCTAAACTCCTAATATTTGCAATGCCATGCTTTGTTCACATCATACCACACGAATATCGCACCATTGATGTACATATTCATCAGTAAATCGCATGTTTTTCTACTTCGCACTCCTATCAACAGTTTTCATTAAACTAAAGTTAAATAACGTTATGCTAACCCGATACAGTTAATTGTACCAATTTTTGCACCATTTAGCTCCTGATAGATGCTAAAGTGAACCGGTACTTAAAACAGACATTTAAAATGTGCTTTCTTTTGCGAATTCGACAGTTAATAGGTTAATTTTCTATGCACTTCAATAAAAATCCTTAATAAAAACTCATGTTAAACCACTTGCCGTTTAATGTTCAGTTTGACGCAACAAATAATCTCTGTTTTCATCTGCTCTACCAATCTGTTATAATTTTGCCATTTTTACTCCAATTTCTTGTTCATGAAAGTGAAAAGTTAAAATTAGATGCATGTGAATATTAAAATTTACTCATTAATACTCATTATCAGGTTTGATAAACCATAAAATTTATTTAAATTAAGTAAAATTAATATCGTAATTAATTATCGTAGATGATCTAAATCAAATTATGAAAGAAAATTGCAATTTGGTGTAGGTATTGTCCCTCAATGTATATAATTTATTACACATACAAAAAAGATGATGCTTAGATAGAAACGACACAAAGAAAATCATGCGGACAAAGCGTTCCATTTTGAATATTTACTGAGATACAGGATATTAAAGAATCGTATATCAAAACATTTCAAAAACGAGTTATACAAACCATACGACCTAAGCAAATATTTTACATTCATCAAAAAAAGAGAAACAGGTGCACGATAAAGGAAAAGCTCTTATGTACAATATTAGACAATTAAAGGTTATTCAATGAACTAAAAACTTATATTCGATTCTTTGAAAACGTGTATCTAAAAAAATTCAAAATAGATTCTCGTATACAATTTTTTCGCATCGAGCAATCAAATTAGTTAAAGTAAAAGCAATTTGGGACGTCAAACCCTCTATGTATATAGACAAGGACTGTAACAGTTACCATTAAAAAAATAAAAATCACTTTATAACCTTTAATATACGCAATTTAATAACAGATTGTAGAAACACTTTTAAAAAGTATACCAAAACAGCTTTGTCAATTAACATATAAACTGAATAATTTTTTTTAAATAAATTACGTAAGGATTCCTTTCTTTTTATTATATTTATTAATCAATTTTGTGCATAGTAATCAAATCACGTGTGAACAATCAAAAACAGTGAGGAAGTATTTGATTGTCTTCAAATGTTATATTGTATCCCCTTGTGTCCAAGAACCTGTGTTTTCGCTCAATTTAATTAAGTTTCTGTCGTAAAGTAACTTGTACATACAAACGTACTCGTATTTACTTCCATATACGGTGACTCCATCGCATAATCGGACAAGCATTTGTTCGATATAAATGTGCTCTAAACTTTAAAAAAATGCTAAAAATACGATTTTTTTTGCTTTAATTAATACTTAACATACTTATCTATCTAAATTATAAAAAAAATTAAAACACTTCTCATAATAACTATTAATTTAAAGTAAAAAGCAGAACCAACACAATTTTTTGGGCTCAACGCATAATCGGACGAAGTGAAGCAGCAATGCTAAAATACTGTTATTTTACAAATATGTACTTCAAAAATACAGTAATAATTCTCACAACAATGTTTTTTACATTATATACACATAGTAGAAAAAGTCTACGGATATTCACAAAATTTTTCTTAAATTACGCATAACTTTTTTAATTTTTACTCAAATTCATTTTTTTTTTCCTGATTTATTTTAACCAAAGAAACAACAATAAAGTTGCAATATTAAAACTAAACAGTTATTCTTTAAAAAAAATTAAACACAATTATATGCAAAAGTAGCAATTTTTGAAACAGAAAAAGTTTACGGATATTTCTTAATATTTACATTAAAACAATAAAATTCACAAAAATCTTAAATTTAATAGCCTGTGGGATAACCTCTGCATTTAATAACCTCTGTTAAGCGTCTTTGCATGGACTCAACTAGCTTTGTAGTATCCTGTGCGTTTATTTCTAGCCATTCTTCTTTGATGACGTTTCTTGCTATATCCTTGCTGGAAAACATATGCTGGCGAATCTTATTTTCCAAATAAACCCACAGATGTGGAAATGACTAAGGTCTGGTGATTCTGGTCGTGTTTGAAGTTGCCTGAGAGCATAGTACAGCATCCAAATCCGTACGATGACTGTTGTATGTTTAGAGTCATTGCCCTGCTGAAACAAAAAGGTTGCCTCAAGTCCTAACATTCTGACATTTTCTTTCAAATTTGTTTTTAGAATATTTAGATAGCCATATTTCTCCATTGTATCTTGTACAAATTCAAGTCTGACCGCACCATTACTTGCTATACACCACAAAATCATTACGCCTTCACCACCACGTTTTACTGTTGAAATAGAGTTTTGTTTATCATAGGCTGTGCATAATTTTCTCCTTACAAATTTTTTAACTTTGATTCAAAATATGTTAAATTAACTCTCATCGGAGAAAATAACTCATTTTCAGAACTTTATAGGTTTATTTATATGCTTTCTTGCAAAGCTTAATCATTTTATTCTATTATATCAGGATATGTATGGCTTCTTTCCTGCAATCAGGGTATAATACATGCATTTCTTCAAAATTTTCCGCACAGTTTTAGGACATATTTTGTTTTCAAGTATTTTGGCAATATGTTCAGCTAGTTTGAAGGCTATTACTCTTGCATTTACTTTCACCTGGTTGATTATGCTACGTCTTTCTCTATTTGACAGAATTGAGGAGCGGCGAGTACGAGGTTTAGAAACGTAAATGCTGGTCTCTTTGAAGTTATTTGTAATTCTCTGCACAGATGAATATTGACGACCAATATCTTCAGCAATTTTTCTTTGGCTTACGTCATCTTTCTAAAATTTAACAGCTATTTGTAGCTCACTAAAACTAATTTCACGTCCTTTTTTTATATTGTAAAAATTTATTGCTTATATAAAAAAATGTTATTAAATGATTAATTTTTAGACTCTTTAGGAAGTCAACTATTAATTAAATATCATTTAATGACACTTTTATGCTTGCAAGCGAATTTAAATTAACGGTAAATTTAAATATTTAGAAATATCCGTAGACTTTTTCTGCTTCAAAAATTGCTACTTTTGCATATAATTGTGTTTAATTTTTTTTTAAAGAATAACTGTTTAGTTTTAATATTGCAACTTTATTGTTGTTTCTTTGGTTAAAATAAATCAGAAAATAAAAATGAATTTGAGTAAAAATTAAAAAAATTATGCGTAATTTAAAAAAAATTTTGTGAATATCCGTAGACTTTTTCTACTATGTGTATATATATAAGATAAATATAAATTATATAATTGTAACATAAATTAGTATTAAAATGGCACCAAATGGAAAGCAATCTACTGTCGAAATTAGACAATTAATAATTAAATTGAATTTCGAAGGTAAAACTGTTAGAGAAATTGCCAATTTAGTTGGAATAAGTCAATCTACTATCCAAGACATTATCAAGAGGTCCCATGATGAGTTTAGAATGACCAATAAGATCAGAGCAGCTCAAGGCAAAATATTAAATAATCGAGAAGAGCGTTCGATATTTAAAGAAATAAAGAAAAATCCTTTCAAAACCAAAAAAGACTTTAAATTATCATTAAAATCACGCTCTGGGAAAGATGTATGCTTAAATACTATTCGCAATACATTACATAAATTCAATTATCACGGAAGAATTGCCACAAAGAAGCCGTTTATAAGTATTAAAAATAAAAACAAAAGAATAAAATATGCTAAGGAATATTTACTAAAAACAGAAAGCTTTTGGAATCAGGTAAATTAATGGTAAATCATCTTAAATATATTTTCATTGATAATTTTCATTTTTTTTAAGGTTTTGTTCACTGATGAAAATAAATTTAATCTGAATAGATCTGATAGTAAGATGTTTGTATGGCATTAAAAAACCAAATGCAAAATTCATTTATCACAATACAAAAACCACTATAAAACATGCAGGAGGCTCTGTTATGGTTTGGGGTTGTATGTCGAGTGCGGGACATACAACCCCAATTTGCATTTTATAGATAGTAAAATGGACAAATCTGGACACCTCGGCATTCTGAAACAGAACGTAAAACAAAGTGCAGAGAAATTGAGTATCGCAGAAAATTTTAATCTTTATCAGGACAACGATCCCAAGCGTACGTCAGGCGTAGCAAAGCTTTGGTTAATTCACAACTGCCCCAAACTCATAGACACACCTGCACAGAGCCCAGACTTTAATGTAATTGAGCATCTTTGGGAGGAATTAGCTAGAAGAGTGTACCAAAAAAAAATTTAATACAATAGTACAGCTAAAGGAGGCTTTACTCGAAGCATGGTACTCAATTGAGCCAGAAGTGTGCCAAAAATCAGTTCCAAATCGTCTTCAGGCCATTCTGGATAAAAAAGGACGTGCAACAAAATATTAAATGCCACATTTCTGCATTTTTAACATGGATGCTTGATTTTATCCGATTATACGTTGAGCTCAAAAAATTGTTTTGGTTCTGTTTTTTACTTTAAATTAATAGTTATTATGAGAAATGTTTTAATTTTTTTTTATAATTTAGATAGATAAGTATGTTAAGTATTAATTAAAGCAAAAAAATCGTATTTTCAGCATTTTTTTTAAAGTTTAGAGCACATTTATATAGAACAAATTCTTGTCCAATTATGCGATGGAGTCGATAGGAGTGGAAAAATTTGTAAAAAGTGAAAAAAATGGCATTTTTCCGAAATTTAAGGTCGATGAGCGACCTCTTAACATTATTTGATTAGTCTAAAATTTTACACTTAGTAGTTTTTTGAGTATGCAAATAAATGTAGGGGGTGGCATTTTTTTCCCCCATACATAATACAGTCACCTTATATTATATATATACATATAATACACATTTAATATATTTATTGGCGCTCAAAAGTGAATATAAAAGGATAAAATTACTAATAAATGATATGGTTTCGTTTATTTAAAAAATGCACTGAACATCTGAAACCATAATTTCCCTAAATATTAAATTATATTCATGTTTGTGTTAATATATTTATTTTACCGTTCTCGGAGTAAGAGTCAAATTTCCTAAAGCGTTGCTGACACCATTTATACTTGATTCGGATTGAGTATCAATTCCTATTTGTGTAATATTACTTGACCCAGTTCCAGTATTATCCGCATTAGAAAACGAATTTGCTTTCCAATCGATTGAGCCAATATTTTCCGGTGCGAGCCCAACCACAGGGGCTTTATGGAAAGGACTAACTGCTACATTCTCACCAGATTCTGCTGTGTTACATTGTCCTTGCTGCTGTTGTTTAAGTGCTTCATCGATAGGTTCGTTATCGGATTCGTTCGTTTCTTCTTGCTCCTGTGGAAATGTGTACTTTAATTAACAATAAATTTTGTTCAATATATTTTAACTTGAGATTTATACAGTTGAATATATATAGATTTCAACGGTTTTATACATACAATATGTTCTATATTTTTTGAATAAAACGTACTAGTATGTATGATGTTTATTACATTCAACTTTTAAAATATTACAATACTTTAAAAATTGTTGGTACAATTCCGATATGCCAGGCATGCCTATTTGAAAAGAACTTTTAGTGAGAACTGCTGTTATGATGAAAACCATCAACAAGATGTCGCATCTATAAGACATTGTAATACAGACTAATAAGGGGACACAAGTAGAAATTTTGAATATGACCTTGGTCCAAGTAGAGGAATGTTTCCACCTCAACGGTGTGGAGCCATAAATCAAAAGTGCTCAAATTTGTGTGTGTATTTTTGCAAGAAAACAGATAGGCGACGTCATGTGCAGTAGACGACCTCGCTGATGTTATTTTCATTCCGAAAGAAGTCGATATGTTAATGATACAAATTAAGAAATAAACATATTAGATTCCGCATAAACGTTATTACTATGGGACATGCCATGATACTCAAATTGCTGAGTTTAAAGCAGTGATGCCTAAAAATTTTTCGTGTGTCTCGCCTGCTTGTATCGCAAACACAAACAGTCTGTGACCGCAAGTCAACAAGTTGTTGCAACTCTTCTCCTGACCACAAGATGTATTCAAGTAAGACACCCACAATTTTTGGTTTATTGAGAACATTTGTAATCAGTTACCTACGTTATGGATCTTGACTGTTTCAACTTTGCAAGTCTTATGAAATCAACAAAAAACGTTATACTTACAAGATAGTTGCAAACCTATAGTTTTCTTTAGCCAACGATTAGTATGCAAATTAGTATGCAAGACTAGGTCAAACGGTTTAACGAGATCAAGGACAATCAATACTATGCGCTCACTGTGTGAGTTTGACCAGAATAAAAAGTTGAAACTTTGATATCTCGAGAAGAACACAATTTATAATACTTTAAATAACTGACAACTAAAATCGATTATCAAATTAGTGTGCTCTGAAAATCGGAATCGCGTCGAAATTTTATCTTCATATAAGTTACAATAAAAAAAAGAAAAAAAATTAACCAAAACAAAACATCAAACACAAGTGTATTTATGTTCAACAAACCTCTTCTGGACATAAGTTATATGCCATAGACCAAGTATTTTTCGCAGATTGTGAACGTTCTAGCATATAACCATTTGTATTATCATTACTTTGCGCTGGTGGTGACCAAGAATATGAATTATATTGACAGCCTATACCACGTTGTCGCTCAAGTTCATCTTGTAGCCATTCCACAGCAATTATCCAGTTTCTTGCCACATTTTGGTTAGAATTGAGCATTTGTAATGCTACAGGCGATTTATTAAAAAGCCTGGTAAGGCATTTTATTATTTGGTAGGCTCGTTTTTGATAATGTGTCTTTGATCTTTGTATTGTATCTAACAGTCCTTCTCGCTCTTCAGCTACACCATTTAAAGCATTATGTATACGGTGGTGTTGCCACGAGTCTTCAAGTAGTAGAATATGAAATAAAAGTTCAGTATGATGTCGCATATCATGGCAATAAGCAAAGCCGCACTGCCATAGTAGTTCAGTAAGTGCCGCTCTTGAAAAGTGCGGATTTTCCCAACAACAATATTGAAGTAACTTTAAACCTTCTTCTCCGACATTAGTGTCCTCAATCAGTTTTTTAATGTAACTAGATAAAGGCAAAAATAATGAAACATATTTTATAGATTAACTTTGTTTTTATATACATATTATCAAGTAAAATTACTAATTGTCTGTGTTTCAAACAATTAATGAAAACAAAAAATTTAACTTTAAATCAATTATAATATAAACTATGCTTCGTTTACTTACCCTGTTCGACTAAATAATATATCAACACAATCAGCTGAGATTGGAGCTAAGTCTTCATGGTTCATACTTGGATCTCTAAATGGATTTGGTAACGGTCTTGCGTTTTGATTTGAACTTTGACACTTATCAGATATATCACTACAACGTATTAACTGTGAAACAACTTGATGTAATTTACTAAGTTCAGGATATTGATATTTTATAGAGGGTCCTGGCCCCTCATCCAAAGCCACTTGCATGAAAATAACTGGTACATTTAGCTGTAAATCATGCATATTAATATTTTATTTTAGTATCAAAAACAATCATTTTTTACTTTTAATAGTTGTTGTTTTTCCTGTATACCCAATCCAGCATACATACTAAACAAACTAAAGTAGTGCGGTAAATGTTTGCCGTGATCAGCTACTTCACATTTAAGTAATCTTAACACACTTATTATTACTTGCTCACATAAATTCTTTCCTTCATAATTTGGTATAGGATCGTCAGTTATCGCAAAATGACAAAAGAATACAACTAATTTAATAAATATTGTGCGAACTTCAGGAGACGGAGCTGTCAATATGTATTCACCCAAACGTGTTGGTGGATTAAGTAAAGCATTTTGCGCAAACCATTTGCGAACTGTTGATGAATAACGTATGTGATGTGACAAGGAATCGTACCTATATTACAGAACATACTACACATTTATTTCAAAATATAGACAAATTAATTTTAATAAATTACCATTCAATAACAGGACCTCTTAGAGATTTTTTTGTTCTAAAACCAGTATGGAACAGGAATTGAGATGCTAATTGAACACCTAATAATGATAACTCTTCAGCGGTAGGATTCTGATTAATAAAAACAGAATGTTATATTAACTTGTTATTAAATATATAATAAATAAGAGCAAAAAAATACCATTTTATCGAGTCTTGTTGAGGGAATTGTAATGTTAACTAATTTCTTGATAAAACTGAAAAACTCTGTTGAAAATATGCTTTTTGAGTGCAAAAAACGAATATTTTGATGACTAAAAATTAAATATTAATATATTTGCTTTTTGTTTTTAAAATATTTTTACTTACCGTACACTTTTTTCAATTGGCTTTGGTAAAGGAAGTACAAAATTTTTACTTTCCGCCAACGATAACTGTTCAACAGTTTTAATAAATGGTAAAGATTTTTGATCACACCTTGTATAAAATAACATGTAGGCATTCCACCAGCGTTTTTGTCGTCTATATTGCATGCGTTTTAAGTTGTTATCATATATTTCGCCCATATAATCGCCTCCAAAACATTGGGATTTCATCTCATCGTCTTCGTTCATTTTGCATTCACTCACTTCGCCATCATCAAACTTATACCATTGATCAGTTTCATTACCTGGATTTCTTTCATCGCATACAAATAATTATTAGCTCAATTGAATATTTAATAGTATATGCTTACCTGTAACGTATATAACTAAAATAATGACCACCAGATGCTTGCCCGCTATGAACTACTATTCCTGTTAACTCATATTTTGTAGTTTCACCATTTGATGAACAATTATCACCAATTTCAATAACTTCTCCTTCGAGCTTAGCCAAGCCAGAAACTTATTTCAAATAATATATAAAAAGTTTATTTAAAAAATAATAATATATACTTCATAAAGTACCAGTGTAAGGCTCCATATCCAAAACGCGCGGAAATTCAAAATAGTCATTAAACTTAATAGCACAAACTCTTTCATAATCATATTCAAATCGTTTTAGTTGTATGGCCAATACAGGTGGCAATTTTTTAACACATAATCTTTTAACTGTTACGACCTAATCAAAAATAATTTGATTATTATAACAGAATTTTTACATTTAGTTAAGAAAAAAATATAAAGTTTCTCTATGAAGTAACAAGTCGTTTACTTTTTTATCACATTTATCACAATGATAAGCATCAGCTCCTTCCAACAATTCTCCTTTAACATACTGTTCCAAAGATTCCGTTAAGGAACTATGATTTCGGATATCAACACTAAATACACTGAAAGGCTCCTCTTTCGAATAACGATGTGGACATTCTTGGCATATTTTCTGATCACTAAATGAGCCACCAAGTGTTGCATTCATAAGTTGCGGAAAACCTAAAGCTTTTAAGCCTTCATCAAGGCTCTCAAATAAGGACATGAAAAACTCCACCGCATCTTGTTGTTCCCGTAAATTTACTGGTTCCCCTTGCAATCTAAATAATAGAAAATTTAAAAAAAAATTGTTTAAATTTATGCAAGAAGAAAATTTACTTAAAATGCATCCAAAGACCTCGAGGCACATAGTATTGCAAAGCACTATGACCCAAATGTGCAAAAATCGCTTGCACATGCTTTAGTATATTAACATGATAATTATTTCGTACATCATTACTGTCGTAACTTGCATATAAAGTTCCAGCACTTGTAAACCCTTCTGGTTCACCACTGAAGTCTTCATTTTCATTTGTTGCAGCACCTTCTGCTTTAAGTATTCCTAAACGCACTGCTGGTACCATGAATAACTGCTGCAAAACCGAATTCATATAGCAAGTAGCGCCAGCGTTCTTAAGACCGCAGAAACTATTTAAAGGTCTGGCTCCTACGGGTGGTAGATAATCCCAATCACGAATTGGATCTGTTTCTATGTAAAATTATTTGATTAACTATTCGAATTCGATTGAAATTTATTAGTCACCTGAACATACAAAATCTATTATTGTGTTAACTAGAAGCTTCATATTAGAAACACAACCTTGACATAACGCAGCTAATGTTTCGCATGCCGCAGCGACTGTATGCGGACTGCGACAAACGGGTGGTGGAGCTGTATCATTTCGTAGCTTTCCAGATTTTCGTAAATGTAAATATTCTCTTGACGCAGTAAAAAGAAAATCATCTACTAATTCAAGTATCATATCATGTAGTGCTACTTTAGTTTCTGGTGATAGAAATATCATTAATTCTTTAGTTAGACAAAGATGCCCTTCCAAAAGATCCTCATGTACTTGTATATCGCCTGTGATTGCTACGTTTTTGCGTACTTTTTGGAGCCATTTAATTTCGTCAGAAAGCAAACTATCACTGACATTAAGTGGAAAATTATAAACACAACCGTAAGATAGTGTTCGACATAAAAGTTGAAAATATTCTGCACATGTAGATTCATGATGTGGCACCAAAGATTTTAATGAATTAATTAATAAGTTCACCATAAAGGTAAAGGGACGTCTATCACCTGCACAATATGTGCACATAAAGAACAGCTGTTCTGCTGAACATTTACGTACCTCACGTGATTTGTTTTTTAACACTAAAGATGATATAAATTTAGACCAAAGTAAATCATTATTAAGCGCTTCATTAGCACTTGGATTTAGTACTAAAGCAATAGTCAGCACTTCTAAAGCTTCCTTACATAGGAGTATATCATTCTCTTCAGGTAAATTTACATCTTCAGTGAAGTCATTTTTTACACCTAGAAAGTCTAGACATCCACATGATGCAGCCCAAGCTAACTGTACCACAGCTTTTATTGTTGAAATATCAGGACATGTCCACTGTAAAGTTGAACTGAATAGCATTCTACAGTGCTCTCCTTCACCTGAGAGCATTTGTGCAGCTAAACTTTCTGATACTTTAGCACCTATATCACGTACAACAGCTTCAACAACATTAGGAATAGACGTGAGCATTTGTTTAAGTATATCAACTTTTGAACGTGTACCAACATCATATGAACACATCATGGGTTCGTCGCCGACACGCGACAGAACAGATGCCATTGCATAAAAAAATAATTTAGATAATCGTAGCACATATTGGAAGGCCTCGCGCTTGGTGTGCATATCCGTATTTGTAAGAAAATTATTTTTTGTTAACAAATCAATTACAAAATGTGCGCAACCAGAATGCAGCCATGACGATTGAACTAATTGAGATGTTTCATTAAAAGGATCAATTGCAGGTATTAATATCGCATTTAAAACACTCAAATTATATAATACATTAGCTGGTGAAGAATGTAAAAGTACCATATCATTTGTCCATTCTTGCGAAATAATCTGCCATAAAACATAAAAACAATACATTAATAAAAATTATATAAATGTAAATATATTAACCGACCTGTTCATCAAAACAGGATGTATTTTGAGTAGTGCCGACCTCAGTCTCTGCTTTATTAGAACTGTTATTTACTCCAGGTACTCTACACAGTATTTGTAGCATTTTTACAGTGTGTGTGTCTGGAGGTAATAAGAATAGCAGCGTTTTTGCACTTTCCCGTAATTTGTTATGCTCTAAATCACTGCCTAGCTGATAAAGTTTTAGAAAGAATTCTACATAATGGTAATTAGCTGATATTATTACACCAGGTAACGTATTTTCTGATTCAACGCGTTGCATATCTGGGCATGGACGTGGTGGAGATCCTGTACTTGAATCGCTTGATGAATCTGGACTACTAGCTAAACCAGTACCGACGGGTGTTAGTTTAGCAGTAATAACAATTTTATCCCGGAAGTTACTTTTCGCAAGTGTATTAAGGTCATCCTGTATTTCCATAAGTTCGCCATTGTTATGATAAAAATCTACTTTAATATTCGCAGTCGAAGTCCCTTTAATTCGCTTTAATATATTCCTTTTAAATGCAGCAACAGATTCATTGGCGTGTGTCATAATTTCGATATCATCAATAGGACGACCAGGGTTTTGAAAACGAATGAAAACAATTAATTGTTTACCACGTGTATAACGATTAAGTGGGAGAAGACATCGATCGCCGTTAAAGGAACGATCACATTCTTTTATGTACTCTTGTAATACTTTAAGTATCCGACATAATTTTTCAGCTTCACTTAAGCGGTTTTCTATATCTTTTGATACTGCAGTATCGGCCTGATTAGTATCATTTTCGTCTGTAAGTGAGTGACTGCCAATTGTTTTGCTTAGTATTAATATATGACTATAAAGTGTGCGCATTCGTTCACTACATTCACCTACAAAAATCTTATGGAAATCGGAAATTTTTTCCTGTAATCGTGGACCAAGAGCCGTTGAAACTTCTTTTAATAAATCAATAGCTTTGCTTGCTATATCTTCTCCACCAGTTGTAATGACTCGCCACAAATAATCTTTACCTATTAAGTCTTCATTATCAAGTATATAACCACGATGATTTGACTTTAGTTTGTCTTCCTTCGAATTAACAGCTTTAAAGAAGCGCTCAAAACACTTAATGCCACTTTCTGTTAATAAGTGTGGATCTAAATGAAGTATATTACTTTCGAAAAAGTCTTTATTAATGCCAGGATCTAAATCTGGTTCTTCTCCCATTAATTTGCCGAACCAGCGGAAACACTCCTCTCGATCAGAAGAAAACACTGCATTTACAGCTAAACAGTGCCAAATTTGTTTAGCCTGAAACGAAAAGAACTTGATAAAAGAAAAAAAACATGTAGATATAAAAAGTTTTGGGCTTATTAATACCTGATCTGCACATAACCATAACTGCCCGTCTTTAAGCAAAAACTTTAAAAAATCTAACCGCTCTTGTATTTGTGAATTATGACAATATCGCCCATCAATGCACACATATTTTGGATCCATATTTGGTTTCTCGTTTTTAATAACACGTATCTTATCCATGTAGGTGGTTAAACTATTTGTTACTACAATTACCAACGAATAATCATTCTGAAGTCGTTCAATAACTTGTTGACGACTTAGAGCTTGTTGTGAACGTGGTGCATGACTTTGTGAAGAATCATAAAGGCAGCATATGTCACGAATCATTCGTAAAGCTGGTAATACCCATGAATCGCCAGATTTTAGCTCAGCAACACATTTATCTAGCCATACAACTTTTTGCGCATCTCGTTCCTGTGAGCAACTGTAGTCAAGTATTTTAACATGTGCCGCCAACGACTGATCTAATACTTCATGTGAAACCTCAGAACTATGAGCTAAAGACCAGAAAAGCCTAAGAACTTTCTGCGCCATAACACCATTTTTATCATCCTCAGCAAGACGTCGTATTAGTTCTAATAAACGCTCACGCTGCCGTTTATTTGCTGTTGTCATACTTGCCTATAAAAAATATCATATTTTAACAAAAAAATAATTTATTAGAAATTGTCATACGTTATATATAACACATTATACAAAGCTCTAAATCTACCTGAAATGATTCAAATAAATGATCTAACTGTTCTGGAGTAAAATCCCATGCAAGTTTAGCCAATAGGTCATGGACATTTTTAACAATTGCTTCATGTTTTCCAGCTTGTGCTCGCCAAACAGCATCTAAGTCTTCTAAAGTCAAAGCCTGTTCTTTAATAAGAAAGCGTATTATTTTTTCAAGTTTTTCAACATATTGTGGTTGATGTAATGAGTCTTTAAGGACGATTCCAAGAACATTCGACTCTTTTATCCACGCCTATAAAATACAGAAATTAATTTAAAATCTCCATGCATAATTTACGTGAAAAAATTGGATTTAAAATGACTGTAAACGTCGTATTTTTTAAAACTTACAGCCATTCGTTCAGCTGTTAGCCAATCCATTTCATCATCGGGTAAGCAATGAGGCATTTGTTGGGATCTGTGTGAGTAGAATGAAACAGACGTCAAGACTTTATTTATTTCGTTTAAAGCATTCATTTTCCCATTAAAACTAGACACTTGCAAAAGTCGTAGTATCATTTTAAGTCGAAACATTTCTAAATCACGTATAAGGTCATCTTGTCCCGGCAATCGACTAGCCAAAAATCTTGCTGATTTCACAATGCCATTTATATAGTCGTTTCTTCCTTCCGGTTTTGCTTCGCGTTTTAGTTCATCATCAGTAAAACTGTCTAGTAAATCAAGCACCACATTCCAGATTGGCATAAAGTATTTTGATATAGTGGCTGGGGTTAGCAGTTCATAACACTGCCCAAATGGTCGTAAAAGACTATATATCAAGGCGAGGGTTAATTTATTGTCGTGATTATCAACATTCGAATTCAAAGTTTTATTTGTTGTGTTTAAAGGTGACAAAATAGAAGATGATATTTCTTCACCTGAATCTGCGTTTTTCTTAAGCAGCTGTAAGCCGCTATTAAATCGCTCCAACAAATTATCGAAACCACCTAGCTGCCCAAAATAGTTTATCAAATCAACAAGCCACCCCCGGGGAATTTTCGGCTCTGGTGGGGGCTTTGCAAACATTTTGTTACCATCAAGCACTCCCCATATGTAATCAGGGGGTGTAAAACATTCCGGTTGACGTGCAGCGTTAAATGTGTTAAATTTGTTATCTGGATCAAAGACAATTGCAAGTAAATCCAATAAATATGGATTATCACGTTGCATATGAATTGCAATTAAATGCAAAAGTTTTCCACATGACATTAGAATACAATGATGAATATTATACTTCCATGAGTTAACTGCTTCATCAGTTAGAATTTTTGCAAATGACGTGGTCAATGCATTTCGATAAAAATCAACACAAGCTTCACAATCGTGATCTACTCCTATAACAAAAGATTATTATATACTGCATATTTTTATAATATAAGATGTTCCATATAATTAGCTCTAACCTGCTTGAGTTAAAGATATGGCAGCATTCAGTAAAATCTCCAGCTCTTGTTCTGGCAATACTGGTACAACCCAACGTGGATTTGATATTTTTTGTGTTAATGTTATTAATTTTACCATTGGAAATGAATTTATTAGCTTATCCGGTGTTCTTTAATTTTTTTGTTTTTGAATATGATTTTCATAACATAAAGTAAAAGGAGAAATTTTATTATAAGTTAAAAGGTTATTAAGTAAAGTGAATTAAATATAAATAGATATCTTATGTTACAAATTTATATTTGAACATATTAAGTATAGAAAAAAATCGATTAATAGAAAATATTAATTTTACAATTTGCAGGTTTTTAAACTAGTGTTGATAACAAAAATTTCATTACCACAAACATCATACTTTAAACTTACATGTTATCTGATGTTGCAGTGTTACTATCGCCTCCGCTCGATGCATCCAAAATAGACGTTGGTGGCTGTTCAGCAGCTGCGCCCGTCGAAAGAGAAGAATTGTTACCGCTGGAAGCATTGTCAGTGTTAGCACTGCCACTGGTTTGGCGACCACGAGTATCAAAGGTCATTTTGTGTCTTAGGAGGCACTGTTGGATAATGTGCAATAGTATTACCACACAAAATTATATTGCAAAGATTAATGTATACACCCTCTTGATTTCAAGATAACTATCTTCAAATAATTTAGTCCCTTTTTATAAAGATTGATATATTTGGCCCTTTAAAAAGGAACGAATATTGTCGTTTACATGTTCTGTAGGCTAACGCAAGAATTTATAAACTGCAATAAAACAGGCATAAATTGAATGAAAATTTTAGACTATTATCGAATTATTACATGAAATATATTCCTTATACATATAAATTTCAAATATTTATTTATTCACTTAAAGTATATATTTATTAATTTTTATGTATGCACTTTCAACCCTACAAAACATTTTTTTAAATAAAATTATTTTTTATCGATTTAAAATTATGTATGTAGTGTATATGTTAGGATAATTGATAAATGGACGTTAATTTGTTTAGACATAAATAATGCAGTAATTCGTTTAAAAAATAATATAAACGGACAAAAAAATAATATTAACTAAACAAAATTAAACATTTTATTTGTACATTGAATTTCACAAGTACCAAACAATTACTCATTATTGTTTCTTCGATTTTTGTACAATACTGCTAATACATATATAAGCAACTAAATCAAATGTACATTATTTTGTCTTTTGATTACAGCAACTATTAACAATAGTAGAATATAGAACAATAAGAAAATTAGCGAAAGTGGAAAATCAATACCTAAGTTGAAACTGGTGACTTGTGCGTTTTCACAATTTATGCATTTTCTCATTTTCTTGATGGCATAGAAAAAAATAGCCAACAATCTACCTAATTACATCACTCCTCCAATTTTCTTGGATTACATAGAATTAGATCTAGTGCAATTTTCAATTATTTGTTTTTGTTATGCGGCAATTTCATTTATAACATTATGAGTATTTCTTAAATTTTACGACAGCATATTTTTGTTATTTAGTTATAAGTTTATGATTATATTCAAATATTTGATTTGTAATATTTTGTGAAAAAATAATTATATTTATTTAATATTATTTATCACACATACATATAAGTTCTACACATTGTTAAAAAAACTCTTTTGCGATATAAAGCTTAAAAAAGTATAATGTAAACCATTTGCTGAAAATCGATTATCGATTTAAGAGTCTGTTCTTACCAACATATGTATATCATATAGTTTTATAACACTTATTGGTCTTTAAATAAATTCGTAGTACTAGACAATTTATTATAACATTAATTTGCAGGAACGAATAACAAGAACAAAGAGAACAAGTAAAAATATACAAAATTTTTTCCTTGTTTTTCGTTCGTTGTCATTTGCCTATTTAACTTACGTTTTCTTTGCATCCGCCCAAGTGGCATTTGATATTCTCCCAGAATTTTTCTAATTTTAATGTATATATTTCTTTTATTTTTTAACTAGTATTATCTATTTGTCTTTCAATAAAACATTTGTTTAATAAAAATTTTACTTAAATAAAAAATAAACTTTTTCCGTAAGATGGCAATTTATTTTCTTATTGCAGTAAAAAATCAGCCGGCCAGCGGACAAGATGGCGACTTTTACCACTATGGTAACTTTCTGATGGAAATGAAATTGTACTGTAGTAGCTCACCATACGATTTGATGGATACTTTATTTCAATACCTTTATTTGCAACATTTTTCATTGGGATATTATTTGTTACAGGCACATTATCTTTTAAATGTAGAAATGTAAAAATAAAATTAAATTTAAAATTTTAAAACTAAATTAATCTGTCACACTATTGAATTTATTTATATAAAAATTTTTATAAATTTTTAGAAACATACTATTGGTATTTACGATTTCGAGTAACGGGCTCGAAGTACAGGTAAATAATGTTTCTTTAGAAGTTTTACATATTTTGCTGTTACTGATAACCTGACAGGGTCTAAATATTTTAACTATTAATTTGGTTTTAATATATAAGTTCGAAATTAATAAATGTAAGGTCTATTCCCGGACGTACTTTTAGTAAAATTCAAATAAAAAGTTACATGAGTTACTATTTTCGATTGACTCACTCAAAATCTAATAAAAATAGAAAGCTTTTGAAACGAATTTAATTAATGAAGAAACACACAATAAATATAGTGTTCATTTCTTAATGTGATAACAGTCCACGGTAAAAAAATAGTGAAGTATATATATAGCCACAATCGTAGCCATCATATAAATCTTGTATAATAAGTAGAAATAATTAAAATTCTGAATAAACTTTATTACTATCAGTATTCAATTACACCGTTGCATTTACGCACTTGCTCAGTTATATTAATAAGTGAGCGTGCACATTGTAATGAGTTCATTTATGCAGCTGATAAAACTTTCATAAACTTCATTTAATAATATATCACATAAAAAAATTAAATACATTATTTATATTTGAAATCATTTATATACATTTTTTATATCAATTACATATTCATTTAATAAAAAAAAAGATTTTATTAATTATTTACTTCCTTAGTGCCTCTGCTTACATGTCAGCTTTTGTTTGTTTACATATCGCATATAAAACATATGACACATATTTCAAATTTTGGTAGTTTTTCTTGTAGGAGATTTATTTTTAAGGGTTGTATTCGACATTTTTTGCCTTAAGTAAGCTGATTTATATGAAAAGTTTTTATATGGCAAATCATCTGCATTAGTGGCTATCATGAAGAAACCCGCCTAAATGAGATAGTGTGAATATGCTATTATCCTCCACAAACCAAAAACTTTTTAAATAGTTAGTGAGTGCCTTAATGTAATGTGTGAAGTATTCCACTCATACTATAACATAAGATAAATACTATTTAAATATTGAATATTCCATATACTGTGAAATATATATAAAGTTCATTGTCATTATTAAGATTGATATACAAAACAAACACATGAAATATTGAAATTATTTATAAGAAGGAGAAATTCATTTAATTAAAAGTAATAAAAACATATTATTTATAAGATTTTTCTTCAAAATATTTCCATAGAGAAGATCAGAGAAGATATATAATTTCATTCTAATTTTTAACTTATGGTTACAGACCTTTTACAAACATATAAGATGATTATTGAATATGGTGGAATGACATTTCAATTTTACACATATGCAAACAACATTTATTAAAAAGTAGTAAAATACTTTTAACACGCAATACTTTTCTTCCGAAATGGTTTTGACATATCTAAATGAGAAAAGTAAGAAAAACCTACGTGTACTATATCGTTAAAAATATTTGATTTTTCTTAATAACAATAAAAGTGAATAGATAAAATTTTCAGTTTAATAAATTAACAATAAATATGTAAAACTTATTAATTTAAATAAATGTGTAACCACTATATATTTTCTATCTCATTCGCTTTTATATTATTGTTTCGGATATGCAATCTTAATTAGACAACTTGTAAGAAGGAAACGTCAAAATTAATTTCGTATTGGAACCGATCAGCCGTTTGGCTGGAGGTATTGTAAATAACAATAACAAAATGCAGATCTTATTGTCCTCAGTGTGTGTAGCGCTAACTAGCGCAGTTATTGGAAATGCGTTTTATCAGAAAAAGCAATTTTATCCATCTGTTGTATATATTACAAAATCAAATGCTTCTATGGCAGTAAGTTCTTAGATATATTGTACATATACGTATACATAATATATACTTTGGGTTTACAGGTAATATACATTCAATTCTTCGTTATCGTGTTTATGTTCGGAAAACTCCTACGTAAGGTAGAAATTTTACTTTTGAAATATATGTATATGTTTTTAATTAATAGTATAAATAAATTAAGATTAATAAATTTGGTTAAAGATTTTCTTAGGTACCTTACGTGCAGCTGAATTTGAGCACTTGCTAGAACGTTTTTGGTATGCATTAACAGAGACTTGTCTAGCGTTTACTGTGTTTCGTGATGATTTCAATCCTCGATTTGTTGCTTTGTTTACGGTTCTGTTGTTTTTAAAATCATTCCATTGGTTGGCAGAGGAGAGGGTTGATTTTGTAAGTTATTACTTTTGAACTTGATTAAATATATTAATATGTAAAGTTATATATATCACAGTAAGTAGATTTATGAATATTTATTTTAATTATTAAACTAAAATTTTAATTATTAAATTAAAATATATATTATTAAATTAAAATATATATATAGATGGAAAGATCGCCAGTTTTGGGTTGGTTATTTCATTTACGTGTAGGCAGCCTATTAACAATATTAGGGATTGTGGATTATATTTTGCTAGTGCATGCATACAATTCAACATTAGTACGTGGTCCGACGGTTCAATTAGTGTTCGGTTTCGAATATGCTATTCTTCTAACTCTAATTGCAAGCACATTAATTAAATATATTTTGCACGCTGTGGAAATGAGAACAGATACACCTTGGGAAAATAAAGCAGTTTTTCTATTGTATACCGAACTAATTATCGGTCTAATAAGAGTTATTTTATATGTGCTCTTCGTAGTTATTATGGCAAAAATTTATGCGTTGCCAATGTTTGTATTTCGGCCAATGTTTTTCACGATTCGTAGTTTCAAAAAAGCTCTAGCTGATGTTATTTTGTCACGTCGCGCTATACGCAACATGAACACTTTGTATCCAGATGCAACACAAGAGGAACTACGTTTATCAGACAATATCTGTATCATTTGTAGGTAAGTATTAAATAACTTTCTGATTACTATTAAAAAATTATACTAAATTAAATATAAAGAGAGGATATGATTAATCACGCCAAAAAACTGCCGTGTGGACATATCTTTCATACAACATGTTTACGTTCTTGGTTCCAACGTCAGCAAACATGTCCAACATGTCGTTTTAATATTTTGCGTGCACCGGCTGTTAATTCAACAGCTGTACCGCGACAGGATCCACCAATTGTAGTTGCTGCGGCACCCGTTCCAATAGCAAATACTGCAACAGTTAATCCAGCAGCTGCCCAAACCCCAAATCCATCTCAATCTCATGTCCATACAACAACAATGCATGCAGTAAATTCAACGGAATGTAAGTAGTGTACATTTAAAATTTAATTCAATATATTGTACATACAAATATTTATATTTTAGCAATTGGACCCAATATTATGCCAGTTTTCCCTTCAATACCCAATCTTCAGTCTATGAATATTATTCAATCTCCTATGCTGATGCCGCCACCGTTTCCATTTCTAACACCTTATTCCATACCGCCACCTCCAATACCTAGTGATCTCATAAACTACACTGACGAGGAACTTAGAACATTGGAAGGTTCTGAGCGCAGTAAAGTGGAAGAGCGCATAAAAGTAAATTTAAAGATTGCAATTTTAATATATTACATTTATCTTTAATTTAATTTAGATGTTGCGCAATATTCAATTACTAATAGATGCAGCTGGGGTTTTGATGAATAATTATCAAATTGCAGCAGCAACTTGTCGTCAAGGAGCACCTGAGCGAAATTTTGAAAATGTAACTGATATTACTTTAGCCAGTACACAAATGATATCGCCTGTAGTAAACGATGAATTACCAAGCACATCTGGAGCAACAACGGCTGCTGCTGCAATAGCAGCCAGTTTTGCTAGTAGAGTTGAGCATCTTAATAGTACAGTAGGAAGCACATTGGTCTCTACATCAATTGAAAATAGTGGCAGTAATGTAACGATTGAAGATCTTGATGGAGAAGAAAATGATTTCAATATTATATCTTCTGAAAGTACACCAACCTCAACAATACTTAACACGGAGAACCATACAATTGCAGAATTAAATGAACTACGGAAGAAACGCATATTAAAGTTTTTACAAGAAGGAAATCAACCGAATACGTCGACTGAATAGGGTTTTTTACATGCCTATGCCGTGGTCTTTAGTTTAAAATATTTTATTAATTTTTATATATGATCTACATAAAGAACTTGCAATTTATGAAGAAATGTAACCAAGAAAATATTAGATACTGCTATGAGGTTAATATGTTCCATATTAAGCATATGTACTTTATATTTCGATTAATTCTAATAAACAAGTGCGAAAAAAAAAATTTGTTTTAGAAGTATTTGTCAATAGGTTGCCTCATTATAAGTACTTGTTTTAAAAAAGACCTTGTTATTTTGAAATTCATGTTGTGTTCCGATCAAGAGCTGCTTATATTATTATTTTGTTTTATATGTACATTACTGTTGTTTATATTAATAATAAAACTAAATGTTTAGATATTATAAGATTAAAATAATTAGGATATTCGAATAACGTTTTTTTTTTTTAAAAGTGAACGTTTGCACAGAGATTAATACCGCAGTCAACACTGCCAAGTCAACAGCAACAATGCTGCTGAAATATTTCCACATATCTGACTACTCGATGAAACTTTCTTACACATCTTTTTATTTTATATATTATTACGAATTACCAAAACTCTATTTTGTAACTAAATTTATTAATATTATAGAATAAGAATAAATTTTTAACATTAACGAAGTAAGGATGTCTTCAAGTTAAAACTAAAAACTGTCAGTAATGAGGGAATAAGAAATTAATTTATTTAAATACGACGTTTGATTATAAGTGGCGCATTCGGTACTCCAATTGACAGTGAAAAAAAAGTGGCACTGCGTAGAATAATTTCATAGGGTGGCGGAGGATCAATACTAGAGTACTAAACCTAAGACATTTCTGTATAGTAGCGATATACCATTAAACAGAGCCAGTATTACATATTACTGGAGCTGTCACAATTGAAGTAGTGGATCTTAATTCTTTATAACTGATAGCACCAACAAATAGAAATGAAGGTACTGCTGATGTGGCACTATGCAAGCTGATATTATTCTATCGCTATTAACAAAAATAATATTCATCGGTTTTAATTTACTAAACCCGATTTAGAGGCTGTTAACACAAATATAATCAGCCTTAATCGTACAGTCGAAATGCTTTCAGAGGAAAATAAAACTTTAAAAGAAAAAATAATTAAATTGGAACATGAAAACAAACCGACCACGAAGAACTGATGCGGCTAATTGATGCCAATAATTAAAA